GGCTGGGCTGCCCCATGTCCCCCTCTTCAGGGTAGGATCACAGCCCCGACCAGCCCGCCCCAGACGCTTCAGGGTCGCCGCCGCAAGCTGGCTGGCAGTTTCCGGCGTTTAGGGCAGCATCTAACCACGTCTGAAAAAAGTTTTATTACAAACCTTATCTACAAAGTCAATTATAAACACAGCCTTCAAACAAAACGGCTTTGGGCAATCCAATGAGCCAGCGAGAGCCTGGCACTTCAAACCACTGTTAGTGACACAAACCTGATGGAAGGATCAAGACGTGACTAAATTCCTGCCTACACCTTGGAAAAAACCCCTCTTTTTGTATGTAGGAGACAACCACTCTCTGCATTCCCTTCAGGAGAACGTCCATTAACAGCAAGCGGTAAAACCAACACTTTACCCTTTAAATATGGGAGGTTATTTTTCTGTTTAAACCAAAGCCGTGTGCGCAGCAGTACGCAGCATTCCCTCACGTTCCGACGCAACAATACCAAATATCTTCCATCTTGTCAAATGCCAGACGTAAAACCACACACTAACAAGCGTGCCTGCTGCCGTATTACACAGAATTGTATTTGTTGTTTTCCAGTTTCAAAAAAAAGCCTTACAGACTGACCAGATAGCTTGTATTCATTGAAATTGTTTTAAACAGAGGGGGGCTTTTTAATCATGAATGGATACCCAGTCGAGAAAGAAACACCAAAGCGACAGTACAGCCAAAGGAACATGAATGCACACATGGGTACCTGCAGTGGAATTAGCACCCTTAAAAAGAAAACCAGTGGATTCTAATCCATCTTGAAAACGTTGGCTCATTTATGACGAAACTGATGCTGCTTCAGTCCAAAAATTGCTAGCCAAAGCTAGCAAGTTGAAGTCCCTGAATAACATAGTGCTAAGGTCCCTACACACCAGAAACGGTCATTCTTACCTTTACACCAACAGACAAAGAGTATCAGAGTTTTCCTGTCTTTGAAAATAACTTGAGGATGTGAAACTTGGCAGTGGCCAGAATATCTTCTGCTCCACACGGTCTGCCTCTGAGCAGGCTGTAACTGCTGGAATTAAAAATGAGTATTTAAAACCACACAGGCCACACGGTAATACAGCGATTTGTTACTTCAAGAGCTGTGTAGAAAACATACAATTTAGGTATTTATCCCTTAAGAAAGGGGCAGTAACACTGCATACAGTTCTCTTTCACATGGGATAAAAAGTGCCATCTATTTCTTGGGTGTATTCCACTCCATGGAGTTACGGCAGGACGTAACGCTGTCCCTGCACAGTGCTGTCACACGGCTAACTTCAGTTTCTTCTTCTTAGCTTTCATGACAGGTGGCAAGGATATTTTGAAAGCAGTCCTGAAACAACACAAAAAGGAACTGTCAGATACACTGAACATATTTGTACACCCACCCCTGAAACAAGAAGGGGAAACACTCACTCGCATGTACTGCAAATAGGACTGAAGTTGCAGAATACTGGAAAATAAAAAGAATTGGCTTTCACCAAAACAGTTCATTTGAATGTAAGTCAGAGCCTTGCATATGGATGAACTTACTCGACAAGCACACAGAGCACACGTAACCAATTTCTATAAGATTTCGATGGCAGAAGCAGGCAGCTCTGTAGTCAACGTGGACAGGAGGTGGAAGGACAAGCTGCGATCTTTGCTCTTGATCGGGGAGAAACACCCACTGCACGAACACAGAAAATGTTTAGCAGGTGGGAGTGGTAGTGCTGTGTTACCTTCTCAGTGCAGTCAGTAAGACTCCACGTCTGACACAGGAAACACACCGCAGTGTCGGGTTTTTTTAAATGACTTACCAGCAAATACTGCAGAAGGGATGGCATATGGGGCACTTTCAAATACAGGCCACCCGTAATGTCACAAGCCTGGAAAGCAGAGAGCATGATCGGATTTTATGCTTGAGGAACCGGCTATTTAAAATATCCACATACTGCACAAGGTCTGCATGTTGGAACTGTCAGACCCAGCGAACATATTTCCACACCCACTCTCGAAACAAAAGTTGAAACAAAAGAAAGAGGAGACCTTCAGAATATGTCAAACTACCTAGCACCAAGAAGCTGTACGTTAAGATAAACAGCAAGTGAGAACAGGAAGCCTCTACCTGTTGTAGAAGACCTGAATCAGAGTCCAGGACACAGGCATCAATCAAAATACTCTGCAAGAGATGAAAAGCATGAAAAACCAATTCAGCTAGGCCCAACGTAGCCTCGTCAGCGTTACTGTCATGACCCGTGTCCCCCATCAGTATACTCCACATCTAAAGGCACAAGTTTCTACAGACAACCACAGCCACAGGGAAGCTCTTTCACTTGATGAGAACATAATCCTAAGAGAAATGGACAATTTGGTTATTGTTGCACAGTAATAAAAGATAATATATATGAAAAAATGCCAGCTTCACCTGTTTCTGTGCTGCAAAGATCACATTCATGAAATTCATATATTGCAGTGCACTGTCTTCTGCTGCTTTTATGACCTAAATGAAACAATTCAAGTTCGTCAGCCTCCATGACACCGCCGGATTTCAAGACTAAAAGAAAAACTGACAGCAAAAGTTCTTACCAAAATTCTTGATTTTATTTCTTGATGGTCTGAGCATTAAAAAGAAAAAGAAGCACGTGAGCACACTGTTTCCATTGCCTGTAGTTTGCCCTGTCAGTTCAGTAGCATCCAGCACGTGTCCAGGACGTCAGATCTAACGTGTCACAACACATGTATGAAACTGTCCTACAGCCCCAGTGACAGGCCTCTGTGGGCTAACATTATGAAGCAGACCCATTTCATTTCTTGTCCAAAAGCAGTTAGACACAGATCAGGGAAGGTGCTCAGAGCTGTCCGTTACCAGCTCGCTGAGACTCGTAGCCCAAGTTACACAGGATCTCCCACCGACTGAGGACATCTGAAATGCACAGCGGGTTCCAGTCCCACCTGCTCCCTGCAAAACTACTCACGCAGATGGCACTTCTCCTGGTTACAGAAGGGACAAGAAAACCAAACCAGAAATCCAACTGCCATCACAGCTCTGCAGGTGGTCCTTCTGGAAAGGGATTTGTGTGTTTTGTGACTTTCAGAAAAGTCCTCTCAACCTCCAGTTGCTCTAAGGAGACTCCAGTTACGGTTTTACTCGTTCCACTTGCACACAACAGAAAATCAGAATACGAGTGTGGACTAATGTTCCAGTCCTTCACTTCTACTTTTCACCCAGACCTAGTTTAAATTGGGCAACTTCAAAGGATGAAGACAAACCTGCACCTAGAATTGCCAGTTTTGGAAACGGGGGTGTCAAAACCTATAACTGCGTATGTCCATACAAACAAATAGGCACATCTGTCATTCTGGCTCAAACATTTCTGTAAATACTCGACACAGGAGAAGAGGCATTACCTTTCACCTCTTTGCTCATCTTGTTGATATCTGCGTTAGCTGACATTAAGGAATCTACATTCCACCCTTGTCAATATCTCCAGTATCCATTCCATGCCATCACCACCTTGGCCAACACACATTTTCATAAGCACCACCCACAGTTATTGGGCAAACATTTCAGCTTTTAGCATTATTACAGAACAGGAATAGCAAAACTTAACAGTATAAGAAAGCATCTTAAAACTACACAAAGGCTTTGAGGATTCTGTGATCCAAAGGATACAGCAAAGTGCTTTAGCAAGCGATCCTGCTAACAGAGTTTCTGTTTGCTGGCCCCTCATTTCAGCTGCAACACAAGAGAAGTTGCAAAAGTTACTTTTACATATAAAACCAACTGC